CTTACTTTGAGGGGTAAACAATTCTCTATAGGTGGTAGAGTTACATTAATAAATTCGGTGCTCACGAACCTTCCAATTCATCACCTCTTCTTTTACAAAGCCCTTTCAAAAATGGTAAAGGAATTGTTAGCCATTCAAAGATCCTTTCTTTGGTCTGTGTCAACCGAATATTCAAGTATAGCTTGGGTCAGCTAGTCCTCAATCTGCAAGCCAAATGAGCATGGTGGATTAGGATTCAAGGATATATCTTTATTCAATACAACTTTGCTTTCAAAATAGGTGTAGAGGTTAATCCATGAACATCACACCATTTGGAAGTCTCTATTGGAATTTAAGTATGGCATAATTGTTTGCAAAATTTTTTCCATTTCTGATTCTGACAGGTGCAACAACAAGTTGGAGTCGCTGTGGTGGAGGGATATTATACACATTGCTGAATCGAAGGAAAATGATGGCTTTTTGAAGCAAATAACATGCAAGATGGTGACAGCGCAACAATTTCTTTTTGGCATACTCGTTGGTTCGAAGGAACGGTCTTGCGTTTGAGATTTCCATATATGTATGCTGCTTCTCACAAAAATAGAGTTGTTAGCAATTCTATCATTTGGGTGGACAACAATTGGCAATGGAATCTGGGAATTTTGAATATATGACTTGAAGGTGTTGTAAAGGATCAATTAGAGGAATTGTATTTGTTTCTGTCAGAAGTGGTACCTTTCATTGGAACGGATGATGCTTTTTTGTGGCCAAACTCACAAAAAATTTATTTTGATGTTAAGTCGTGTTACAATTTTTTGCAACAGGTTGGTGGGTTAGATACATTAGACGTTGTTCCCAAGACTGCTTTAGAGATCCTTTGGCAATCATCGATCCCGTTAAAAGCGAAGATCTTTGGTTGAAGGCTAATATTGGATAGACTTTCAACTAGATCTAATTTGGTAGCCAGGAGAGTAATATCTAATCTTCACGAGTCGATATCTGTATTTTGTTTTAACCATATAGAATATTTGGAACATGTCTTCTTTTCTTGTCCAAAAACTTTGTTGGTTTGGTGAGCAATATTTGAATGGGTAGGGGTGGAGTGGAGGGCGACGAATAGATGTTGTCAATATATGCTACAATGGTTCATGCAGCAGGTTGTTGAAATTTCATTGAAGAAGACGACTTGTTTGATTTGGATTTGCACATGTGGGTGTATTTGGGGCATATAAATCAAATAATTTTTAATGATGATTTTGGGTGCGTGGAAAAAATTGTACACAATTATTTTCATATGTTAGAGTTGGTTTGCCATTAGTTCTTACCCTAAAATTAGATGTAATTTCTACAAATGGTTTAAATGATCTTTCGAGTTTTTTGTAAGAAGTTTCATATAACTTCGTATCGGTGGTGTAATTGACTCTTTGGCGGGGGAAACTTCTTGTATTCGTTTATTAATACATTTATTTTGATTATAAAAAAACCCTTTGAAACTTTATGAAACATTTAATTATTTAAAATTTATTTTATATAAAATTAATTATTTACACATAATAACTAATGTAAATTTATTAACAAATTTATTAAAATAATAAAACTAAAAACAGTATTACAATATTATATTTTATTAACTAATTTATTAAAATAGTATAATAAAATTTTTATTTATTAAACCGTATAATAAGGAATTTATTTACTTACTAAATTATATAATAATTTTGAAAATAAAAACAAACTAAATATGAAAAAAATAAAATAGACTAAAATTATAAAACAAAACAAAAGCTAAAGAAAATATAAAATTAATTTTAAAAAATAAAAACTAATTTTTCACATTACTAACCTTTTTAATCCTACATTAGATAAAAATTACTAAATCTAATATCCGTTTAGTCATACAAAATTACTAAATTTAACTCATACATTCATAAGATTCATTTGTTCATGTCAAATTAACAAAGATATAACTCATACGTTACTCACATTCATTCATACTAAAATTAAAACAAATAACATATATTTTATTCATATCAAATCATTTACAAAACAAGTTATTTCCTAATCGTAGTGTAGTTTTTGAAAGATTTTTAAAGGAGAAATTATTTTGGGGTTGGAGTTAAAAAATTTTGGGAATAAAAATTGAGATTAAATGTGTTCCATTATTAATGTAAATTAAGATACATATCTTTTATTAATCTACCAGTGTAAGAATATTTTACTATGTTAATATTTATTTATTTTTTCTCAAAAAAATTTAGCATATCAAAGTGTGAATAAGTATCTTACACTAAATAAAAAGTGAATGTTGGACATTATATATAGCTCAGTTTGTTTCAACTTTTTATAAAATTAATTTTTATAATATTATATATTTTTGTTAAAAAAATTTAGATTTTTTAGAAACAATTTTAAATAAAAAATTAATTTAAATAGTTTTTTTAAATATTATTTTAAGTATTTTATCATTTCACTATATTTTTTTATATATAAAGTTTTTAAAAAATTAATGAAGTTTAAATCTATTTTCAATAACTATTTAAAAACATTATTTTTAAAATGCACATTTTTGAAAATTTTGTGATTTTGATCATATTTTAATCTTCAATAATGTGTATTTATATTAATTAATATCAAAATTAGTTTTTTAATTTATAAAAAATAAGTTAAAAAAACTTTTATTATGTTTACAAATATTTTTATAAAAATATAAAAATAAACCATTTTTAAAAATAAAAACAAATCATAAAAGTGAAAGAATTGATAAACCTAATATCTTAAAATTTTGAATTAAGATAAGTTAAGATTAGATATCCAATTTATTTATATCATTGCCCTATATGATAATTTTTAAATTAAGGCATGTTAAAAAAACCTAATAAAGACTACTCTTCTTTATATTTTATTCTCAATGAATTGTAAAAAAATATACATGTTTATCTAAATATAACTTTTAAGTGACATTCATTGAATTTTACTAAAGACTCTTAGTTATGTGCAACTCAAAAATGTTGCGATCCTTTCAAGAATAATACTGTTTGAGTTGATGATGACCACATAGATGACCAACAAACAAAAGCCACTATAAACAAGTTATTTAAATATTTACCAACCAATAAGATTGTCGGGTTTTTCTCGTGAATTGAACTCAAAAATAAGGGTAAGAAATGGGACATAGGACAAGTACTTGAAGCCATAGTTAGAACTGTAATATGTACAGTTTTAGATAAATACTTTTTCTTACCATTAGAACCTTCTTAAGAATTATATATACACATCACAAAATATTAAAAATTTTCTATCAATTCATTCTTGGAATATTCACTCACTTAATAATTTTGTTATTTTATAAAAATGTCATGTCGGTCAAAATTTTAAGGAAAATAGACCTTGAACATGTGTATGTAATTGATTGTATTTTTATTTGATTTTAGTGTCCATTCGTGGTAGAAAAATAAAATCTCTGATCGTAGTGCTGCAAAAACAATAGATGATTAAAGTGACAAAAACAAAAAGATCAGTACTATAACTATCAGTCTATTATTGTTAAGGAGGAATCTCCAACTCACCACAAAACTAACAAACTTAACCTATCTCTAGTTTTTACCGTTAACATATTTTTGTTACTATTTATTTAAAATATTAATATTATTTTTTGTTAAAAAAGTAAAATAATATAAAAGAAATGGTACAGAAGATGTGAAAATAAAGATGACAGTGTAACTACCATGTTCATATGTTCCTTAAAGCTGTTTAAGAGAAAAGGAAGAAAGACACAACACATCCTTTTCTCAAGTTTTGTTTTGCCATTTTAAACCAAAAAAAACCCTTTAATTTGGTACCACTTTACTTCCTTTGAATGATGATGATGATGATTTGTGTTTTTGTAAAACAATGCATAATAAATATCTGACCCATATGCTTCTGTGTGGGTCAACACTACCTATCAACTTAGTACTAATTATTCACTATCGTCAACTTCAATTTTAAAATCATTGCCAAACACTATCACTCATTACATATAATTCTAATTTGGATGATGAGATAAGAGACACCCATTTTTTTTAACAAGAAGTTCTGAAATTTCGAATAATGACCTAAGAGACTCTGAAAAAAAAATTTAACAAGAAGTTCAACTGATGAGCTAAGAGACATTTGATGAAAATAACATACTAATGAGTTAACTAACATTTGTTTTCAAAATAAAAAATAAAATAGAAAATTCTTTGAAAATGTTAACATCTTAGGACCATTTATTACTACAATGCCCTTAACATTTGCCCTAGCTATATAAATCTCATAGAATAAAAAGTTTCTATAAATTCTTGAATCTTACATTTACACAGAAAAGACATAATACTAAGCTGATACATTGATACAGAAAGATCATATTCATGTATATAAGTACCTGTCACACTCTAGTGACTGAAAAAATAAAAATAAAAAAGGAGCATGTACACATGTAATGTAACATTATTTGAATCAATAAAATTAAGTTTTTTGATTCCTGCTAAAATGGACATGGAAATATCACTTTCGTTTCTGCAATATTTTAATATTTTAGCAGAACATCATCAAACCTTATCATCATCACATTACATTGTAACATTGAAATCAGTAAAAAAAAAAAAAAACTCCTCTCTCATCACCCCACTTTTCTTAAATAATTTCATGAATTTATTCACACGTGTGTTTAGACAAGATGTTCATGCGCACGCAAAACCTAACTCTATTCAATTGTACCCTTTACATTATCCCCACACGTGTGAGTCACAGTTTTTTCTCAGCTAACAACCTAACATTACATAAATTTTCTCTAATATAATCATATAGTTGTAGCCAGAACTTATTAAGAATAAGGTTCAGTGTTCAAAGTTGAAACCCTAAAATTTAATATAAGGAAGAGAATGAGAAAAAATTTACAACAGAATAGTAGTACTATAGGTATGAATAATAATTGAGATGTTATTACCAAACTTAATTTATAAATAGAGTTTTCAACAACTAAATATGAAATTGGTTATTTAAAGATGAAGATCTAAACTAACATGGTCGCTACGTTTAGTATCACAAACGTAGCGATTATGCGAAACATTAGAACAAACTACTCCACGTGGGTGTCCGTCCTGAGACGGATTCACTCTTTCCTCGGACACAAGTAAAGGCAAAGGACGTTCATGGTTGAAACTAGGGTTATTCTGAACGGTGCCGTTTGGGATTCTCCAGAAAGCTAAAGGACTACCATTAATAGGTTGTTGAGAGTATGAAGATGTTGGATGGTTATAGAATCTTGCAGTAGCTGAGTTTGAGTTCCATGTTGGATAAGAAGGTGATGATGATAATGAGGATGGTGAGGATGATGTGAATCTGTAGAAAGGATGTTGTTGTTGTTGTTGTTGGTGATGATGGTGGTGATGGTGGTAGAGATGTGGATCAGAGAAAGATGTAGCATGTACCATAGTTGATTGAAGGTGTTGTCGTTTTGCATGTTGACGTTCTCTTTTGTGAGCGTTTTGATGACCACCTAAGGCTTGTGAAGTTGGAAAGTTTCTACAACAATAATGGCATTCAAATCTTCTGTTGTTTTCATTGTTGTTGTTGCCGCTGTTGTTGGTGTTGGTGTTGGGGTTAGTTTCTTTGTTGATGTTGGGGTTTTCAACTTCGAATGTTGTTTCGAGAGATTCTGAGGAGTCGTCGTTGACTTCGGCAGCTGCTCGTCCGCCGAACTCGATGCCAAAGAGGCGGATGCCTTTTTCTTTAGGTGGAGGGCGGATGAAGGGAAGTTGAGAGAATGAGTCAACATTCATTAAGTCATGTGTTTCTCTATCAACGATTTTTTTGTCCATGAAGAGAATATTTTTGAGAGTGAAGTTGTGTTTGTGTTGAAGTTGTGGAGAAGACTAGAGAGAAAAATAAATGAGTGAAGAGGAAGAGAAGAGAAGAGAAGTGTGTGTGTGTGTGATGTGATGAATGAAGAGAAGGTGTTGTAGTGGGACCTATAAAACAAAGAGGGGAAGGAAAAAGTGGGGACTCTTACATTACATCTATGGATGGACAATTGGGTCTGATCAATCTCAGAGTGAATTGCCTGACAATCGCCACAACACTGCCTTGCCTTCTCTCAAAGTACCACCTCCCTTTCACTTATTTTTGGATCCACTCACATTCACACACATTTCTATACTTCTATAAAAATCTATAATATATACATTCATTTTTATTTTATTTTCTATGGATGCCTTCTTTTTATCATATAAATGTTTCTTTTTTTATTTACTAGTTTTAATTTATAGTTAGTGGTCCAACCATAAATGTATATGTTGTTTTGATGTCATTCAAGAGATTATCTATAGGATGAGATTTGGAGATATGTAAAATACCGACATTAGACAATGTTGTTGAAGACTTAAGAAACCACTTGCTTAGCTAAAGCATGATTGTCACACTAAATTGATGGAAAACAAAGTATGTCTACTTGGTTTTTATAGCAAGTGGAAGTTTGCTCATGTATATGCCCAAAACACCAATCTATATATATATATATATATATATATATATATATATATATATATATATATATATATATATATATATATATATATATATATATATATATATATATATATATATATATATATATATATATATATATATATATATATATATATATATATATATATATATAAACAATCGTCTGTGATGCTGGGTGTGAAAGAGCAGGAGGGGGTGTACCTGCAAGACACTCTGATGCTAAAGTAAGACTCGAACAACAGAGATAGCAAGTACAAAATATGAGTATATCAGGGTGAATACTGGATACCTGACCCTCTCGAATGAGAGGGTTTTTATAGTGCCCCCAGTGCTTGGCCATTGGTCCCTATTTTTGAGGTGAGATAACTGTTTCTCAAAGAATAGGTAACTGCCAGAACTAGCCGTTGTAACGGGCAGACGTGCCCATAACTAGCCGTTGCTACGGGCAGGGGCGTAATTACGGGCACATGCGTCTTTGCTGTTTCTGGATGGTGGAACCGTGTGTGACGGGCAGAGACTAACAAGGAGAAGTGATGTGACCAAGGGTAAATTGGTCAGCCTCCCCTGTTGGAGGGGCAGAAAGGTAAATTCTCCCCGAAAGTGGTTGGACTTAGGCAATTGGGCCGTTCAGGGAGCAGAAGTGGATTGGGTCATGCCTAGCCATTGGGCCAGTCCGGAATAGTAGCCCCCGAAATCGTTGCTACCGAGTATGGTAGTGGTGACTTAAGGACAGTCTACTTCCCAAGCAAAGCTGGCATAAGCTACTTTGTCTCTGAAGGAATCTGTGCTTGGGCATCTGAAAGGTTGCTTGCCGGGGAGCTCGAGGTCCAAGGAGACCAATGGTTGATGGGATCTGAAGAGTCGGAGCACCACGTGTGCCTCGAGCCGTGTGTTGCATTAAATGCTGATGATGGATAGGCTAGAATCATGATGATGTCCTACCTGCGCGTGCTCGTGCACGTGCCTGGAGTTTGCCTATAAATAGTGCGGGCATACGAATTAGTGTGCGAGTATTTGCAGATTAGGGCCACTATTCCGTTTTTCTTCACCATCTTCCACCTCTAGCGCCAAGTGTCGGGGAGGAAATTCGGTTGGGTTTCTCTGAAACAGGGGAGGAAACTATTCAAACCCTTCTCTGAGTCTATTCGTACCTCCAAGGAGAGGTTCTACGTGATCAAGCATGTGTCGGACAGCTACCGACTCGACCTTCTTCTAGAAGGTCTCTACGGATGAGAACGAGAAGGGTCTAATAGATGAGGATGACAAGATAGTTGTACGAAAACCGTTCTTGTTTCCCTTCTGCTGGAGTGGGGCTCATTTTACCCGCTCAACTGATGAGTATACAGTTACTCCTCACCAGTTGTGGAATGATGATATGGCCAACTATGCTAAGCTGGTGGCCTTCGTGGATGGTTTTCCCCTGCCCAGTGTGTGATTCACGTTGGGAAGATGCTCTATGAAGAAGACGAGGGGCCACAGGTGGAGGCCCAATATATCAACACAAAAGAGCTCCTCGAGTGTAGCACTCACGAGGAGGCTCTTAAGCTCTTTGGTAGCTTCCTACTTCCTCTTACTTTATTCGAAATTCTTCTCTTTTCATGTGTTGATGTGCTCGTTTTTTTGCAGGTAATATGTCTTATGCGCAGAAGTTGATGGTGAAGAATGCCCATGGGAAGATGAAGGGTGGCGTGGCCATAGGAAAAAGTTGTCTCAGTCAGCGAGCGGCTCCTCCCTAGACAGGGTTGCAGACTTCCTCGTCTACCCTGCCAACTACCCAAACGTCTCTCATGCCCGTGAGTTCGAGGCTCAAGTGTTCACGCCCGAATGACATCGTGGATCTCAGCCGGGAGAGGGAAAAAAGCAAGTTTGAGCTGCCTCCTTGTCTGCACAATAGGAAGTTCTTCGAGGGGTCCTCCCTGTCTATTCCTCGGGAAGAGTCTCTTAAGCTCGAGGAAATGGACCGTCCCAGTAAGCGGGTCATGCTCGTGCAGGATGCCTTCGCCTTGATGAGAATCTTGAAGATGGAGGTGGTGTACATCGAGGACGTCTCTCAGCACGAGTCTGAGTTGAAGAAGTCCCAAGCTGCGGCAGAGGCCTTGGAGGAGAAGGTTAAGAAACTCCATGAGGAGCGGGAGAAGGAGCTTGAAGAGGCCACGTGGAAGGGTTACGAGGAGATGTCCCCGGAGAGGGACACCCTGGCCGCCCAGAAGAAGGCTGCTGAGGACATGGTAGAGAAGCTAAAGGCCGTTGTTGTCCCTACTAAAGATGAGACTGGGGAGATGAAAAGTTGTCGACCCGAGCGGAGTTGGTTGCCCGGATCATTTAGGCCGACGACGATCTACTAGGTATAGGCGAGGAGGCCTTCCAAAATATCGTGGATTAATTGAAGTTGGTGAACCCTGGTGTCGAGCTAACTACCGAAGGCACAGGGTTCCTCTATTCTTTTAAGGAGAGAAAGATAATCGTCCCTGAGTTCCTCCTGTTTGGTGAAGGGCAAGCGCAGGGGACCCAAGAAGAAACTGTGGCCCAAGAAGAAGTCCAGCAGGTGAAACAGTGAGCTTTTCGCCGGTTTACATTTTTGGCATACGTGCCACTTGTTTATTTGTAAATTTTTTTTGTGGGGTTAAGCCCCATGGTATTGTACCATGCACACTCGCGCCCTCGTGGTCGCTTTATGTTAATGTATATTGTCTTGTATGTTTAATTATACTTTGTCTAATTTTTTCTAAGTGTCATACTTTGTCTAATCTTAGCCGGGAAATAACAGATGGTTTTGACAGAGCTCGCTTCGAGTGGAGGAGAGCTTTATCGCATTCCTCCGTCCATTCGAACGCGGCTTCCTTACAGAGGAGTTTGAAAAATGGGAGGGCGTGTTGAGCAGATTTGGCCATGAGGCGGGAAAGCGATGCGAGCATCCCGTTGAGGGACTGGATGGACTTTTTTGAGTTCGGCATGGGGAACTCGAAGAAGGATCTGCACTTGTCGGGGTTAGCTTCAATTCTTTATTTGATTAGATAAAAACCGAGGAACTTGCCTACTCATACCCCGAACGCGCACTTCTCTGAATTAAAGCACATCTTGTACTTCCTGGCCTACTCGAAGACCTTCTTCAAGTGGGTCGTGTGATTGGATTCCGCATGAGACTTCACGATCATATCTTCTATATAGACTTCGAGCATGTCCCCGATTTCTCCTCAAAAGACTTTGTTCATCATCCTTTGGTAGGTAGCGCCAGCATTCTTCAAGCCAAAGGGCATTACGTTGTAGTAATAGTTGCCCGATTCGGTCATGAAGGCTATGTACCTTTTGTCGCTTTTTTCCATAGGTATTTGTCTGTAGCCCAGATACGCATCCATGAAAGATAATAATTTAAAACCGGCAGAATTATCAACTAGTTTATCTACGTTGGGTAGGGGATATGCGTCTTTAGGACATGCCCTATTAAGATCAGTACAGTCAATGCACGTTTGCCATTTTCCATTATTCTTTTTAACGAGTACAACATTGGACAGCCAAGTGGTGTACTTGGTTTCCTAGATAAATTTCACCTCTAGGAGGTCTTTTACAGCCTGTTCGGCAGCCTCCGTCTTCTCCGGAGACTGCCTTCGTCTACCTTGAGCTACTGCCCTAACTGCGGGGTCGATAATAAGGTGGTGACAGGCCACATCAGGGTCTAGCCCGGGTATCTCGCGACACTCCACGCGAGTAGGTCTGCATTCTCCCAGATGCATGCTCTTAGTTGTTTCCTCGCTATCTTGGGGATACCAATCCCAATCTTCACTCCCTGCTTGGGGTTGTTGTTGAGTAAGACAAGTTCGAACTCTCCATCCGGAAATGGGCGCATCGGATAGACAATTTCGCCGCTTATGGAGGGGCTACTCGAGGATGACTGAATCTATTTTCCTTTTGCCTTCTGAATCTTCTAGTCATCTTCGAAGAAGCGACTGTCAAGGTCGATGGAGTCGATGCGGGGCAGCGGCTTCGTCTCTTCGGCATTGTTGGGAAGAGAAGTCTGGCTGGGAGTCTTCGGCCTAGCGGCAATGGTATTCAACCCCTTGGAGGCAGCTTCAAAACACCTCATCGCGGCTTCAATGTCTCTGTGTAGAGTCGCTACGAGACCCTTCAAAGTATAATATTTCATCTTCAAGTGTATTGTTGACGGTACGACCACCAATTAAGCAAGGGTTGGCCGGCCGAAGATGCACTGGTATAGCGACGGGAAATCGATGACTAGGAATTGGACCTTGATTAACCTGGCTGTTTCAGCGAATCCAAAAGTTACGATCAGCTCTACGTAACCCCAGGGCTTTGTCAC